CTGAAACATGTGGCACCATACCCAGTTGACATTATCCTATGAATTTCAACTGGTTTGCACCCTTCAGCAACCAAAAACTTGACAACTGACCGCTATTCAATCCTGGAGCATGCTTCTTGGTAGGCCATCTTTGTTAATCGCCAAAACTCTGAAAGTTTTATTTTTAATCTGCAAAAGAAATTAAATCCATGTGAAAAAGAAGTAAAACAGCAAAAAAAGTAAGCTTCTATCTGTATTAGAAGTCCTTATACCGAAAAATTCACCTTATTCATTGAATGACCTTCGTATATATATTTGTATGCATACGAAATGTTCCTTTTGAGTTCATCTAAAGTTAATTGAAAAGAAAGTATGTATACTTCATCGAATAGCCTCACCGTTAAATTTCCAATACACTTGCGTTTCTCCTTCTACTCACCTACTACCGCACCTCACGTCGTGCGCTTATTGATTCATTTATTTAAATATAAAATAAAGAGTTCATAAATTTTTATTTTTTAATAAAAATAAATCATTAAAAAATCAATTGAACAAAATCGTCTGAACAGACCCAAAGTTTGAAACCAACACACACACACACACACACACACACACACACACACACACACACACACACACACACACACACACACATAGTATTTGAATATGAAAACTATCATTATGCACATTCCATCAGCTTTGTAATCAAATGTATTTTATTGTGAAGAATGTGGTATAAATATTCGTGTAGGAAGCCGCTATCGAAACAAGCGTTCTTTACCATTAAACCACGAGAAGCCATTACTCTCTGTGTCTATGCGCATCCATTACTTGCTGAAACTGACAGGACACCAACTGATGCTTGATGAGACGACACGCAATAACTACCAAAGGGTACACACGGTGTGTACAAGTGTGGGATGAAACGTTTATAGATTGATTATAAAAGAGTGATTCTAGAGCTGTGAAATCTTGCATTCATTAATTTTACCTTTTCTTATCAATGAATGTATCGTTTCCTTCCAGATAAACTGACATATGACTATGCAAATGAGACTGTTCATTTTGTTAGTAAAAAATAATCAACATCAGATATGACGTCATCATTACTCTGATGCTTGTTCCAAGTCCAGTGTTTTGTCACTTTGGGTAACCGATGATAGTCCAAGCAGGAGTGTAGAAAGGTTGATCAACCAATTCAAAGGCACAGTCAGGCATCTCTGTCATTGAACCAAGCACTTATGTGCTGCAGCAATGTCCTGATGAATGAAGCCCACTTACGTTAATTTCGTTGTGCGTTTTGTCTGAATAGCCTTTCGTAAGTGCCTCAGAGGAGGCACGGTAGAGTAATTGATAGCGGCTCGAATTCCAGTCGAATCCATTACATTCACTTACGTGCTAATACCCTTGGGAAATATGAATCGGCTTCTTCTCCTTCGAGTAAATAGCAGGACCAATCAGGTTCTACCGCAGAAAGAAATGACAACCTACTGCGGGAAAACTTGCCTCGTCAGTCATGTATCAAAAGATACATGATCGCCTATATCAGCATGTTGATATAGTGCTTTCCATTGATGTTATGGCCCTTTTGAAGATTGTCAATAAACGCAATCCCTTCCTTGAAAAAAAGATGACCTTCTTTGAAGCAGTTGGGGAGAAGTGTTTCCACTGCATGGCTTTTCTCTTTGTCTTTAGCTTAAAACACTGAACACAACACTCATCTTGGATTAGGAAACTTTCAATGAAACCAGATAGATTTTCCTAAAAGAATGCCAAACTTTACGCTTTTGATCAGGTGTCAGAGGAACCAGCGAGCAGAAACATTCGTTATTCATTGTGCAGAACATTCTCATCTCTCTCATGGGACATGCTAATACATTGGCTATTTGATTTATAGTCAGTCGTCTGTCATCCATCACTATGTGATGAACACTATCAATATTTTCCTTGTTCGACTTCCAGACATTGGGTCATATTCAAGACACACTCTTCCATCCTAAATTTAGTTGCTCCCTTTTGTACTGTTGATAAACCTGGAGAGTCATCCACAAATGTAGTAGCCATGACAGCATGAATGTCCTTGGGGGCGAGTACCATTTTTCCACCGGTACTTGATAAAAGGACGATGCTAAATTTTGTCCATTTTCCACTGAAGCCGCTACTAGTTTCATTTGAAGTCTTCCCATGACAGTCAACTCTCACATTACTTGAAATGAAGCAATGCAGTTATTTGTAATAAGAGTTGAAATTTATGCAAGCGAGATTTTACAGCTCTAGCATCACTCCTTCATAGTCAAACTATGAACTTTTCAGCCCACTATCGTATTGTTATTTCTTCCTTTCCCTCCTAAATTCAGTTGACCTCTTTTGCGCAGTTGATAAAGCTGGAGCGTCATCCTCTAATGTAGCCATGATGTCAGCATGAATGTTCTTGGAAACTAAAACCTTTTTCTGCAGAAATTTAATAATACCACATTGTCTAATTTTGTCAATTTTAAACAGGAATCGCTACTTGTTACTTCTGAAGTCTAGATTACCTGAAATTAAACATTGCAGTTATTAACAAGAAGAGTTGAAATTAATGCAATATATGCATTTATAGTCAGCCTATGAACATGCCAGACAACCCTAGTACACAGATGCATCCCTATCAATAAAAATTAAAATTATTAGATAATGATTTATAAAGCAATTATGAAATTTATGCTCAAATCTTCCCAGGAAACCAGAAATATGGCCAAAATGTTTGTTTACATGTAGATATCGTTTCCATCCTAACGGTTTCTTTGAAATAGTGTGGAACGTCAACATTTTGGCTATTTTCTCTTCGAGTTACATGTGCTATCCAATTTAATTGTTGCTGTTTTTGAAAGTCCTGAAGTAAATTTGTTTCTGTTGTTTATTACAATTCTTTGTTTCAGAATCTGGCAGTTATGAATTGGTTTCACGCAGTAATAATCATTTTCGGCTCAAACTTGCAAAGCATTGTCTTGAAAGCCAGAAAAAAAGACTAAAAGTAACTTCCGGTCCCTTTTTTTTTCATTTTGTCCTGGCTTTCTATTTCAAAATTCGTTTTATCTATCTCCATTTCTTTTTTTTTCTTTTCTCTTGTTCTCGCCATTCTTCACTCCATTCTTTCTATTATTATTCCTTTCGTTCTTATTCTTCTATGTGCCGTGTCCTTTCAGGACTTTGGCGATCATGGGAAGCTAGGAAATAATAATAATAATAATAATAATAATAATAATAATAATAATAATAATAATAAGAAATAGAAGATGTCACCATTCTATGGGATTATACCATCCACACAGACAGAAAAATTGAAGCAAATAGGCCGGACATTATTGTCAAAAACCAGAAAGAAAAAACTTGCCTACTAATTGATATGGCTTGTCCAGCAGATTGTAACATAGCAACCAAGGAATTTGAAAAACTATCAAAATACAAAGACCTGGAAATTGAAATAGAAAAAATGTGGAAATTGAAAACAAGAATAATACCAGTGGTAATAGGTGCACTTGGAATTATAAAAAAATGGAACAAAACAACACATTGAAAGAATCCCTGAAACCCCAGCTTAAGAGACATACAGAAAATTGTCTTATTAAGTACAGCACACACACTAAGGAGAACTTTGTCTATGTAACGCTAGCAACTTCATCGGAGATAAAAAAAAAAAAAAAAAAATTAACATGAAATGTGGCCATAACAACACACCACGACCTGCCTTAGGTCTTTCCGCAGACTTGGTAGGTAGTGTGTCCATAGCAGAAATAATAATAATAATAATAATAATAATAATAATAATAATAATAATAATAATCACATCTCCCTGTAGCTACAGTAGCCATGCTTTTCATGGCTTCAGGTCTTGATTGGGGGTGTTAACATGTATATATTTTGTTTGAATCAAGACGGGTTACAGTAAATATCCCGTTCAGTACCAAAGAAATGCTCGTCAGTTGACTGGCCTTCTCGTGTTGCTTATGTCGCCGAACGGCTTATTCACTGCACATTTCATTCGTGGAGACGTGTGGGGAGCATCACGGCTAGGTACAGAAGGAGTTGTTATTTAAAGTTTGAAGAATGAGGCAGACGATAAGTTTTGGGAGTTACATCTAGATACATGAAAGAACACCTTCAATCGGATACCATGTAATCAGACTAGGATACTCAATCTAAAGTTATTTCTCACTGGGCCCAATCTGAAAGGTTGTGCGCTTCTTTGATCAAGACTCGAAGACTAGATCATCATATGGCGTACATTTGGCTGTGTTTCACCTGTCTGGCACACTTTCATCAGAGTGCATGTCAGCATAGTTATACTGGATTTCGTATATTCTATAAAAGCAAACAGAAGCTTGGTTCTTTTTTATGCACTGTTTTCCATTCAGGACCTAGGCGATAATGGCTCTCTACAATTTCTTGTCCTTTGTAGGCACTTTCGTTATTTTCCTAAATATCCGACATCCATTTCATGAAGCTCCCTAAGTAGCTAATGCATTGTTTCCTGAGTGATACATATTCCAAACCATTTTCCTAAATATTTATCCTAGAATTTTCAACTATCTCTTCCCAATGGCAGTCTTTTTGTTTCCATATTCTCTAAAACCTCCTTGTTGCTCACATGTTCGATTAAATTTCTTCACTGCATATTTCCGTAAAACCAAATTTGTATTTCATCAAGTCTCTTCTTCATATGTGAGGCGATTGTCCAGCATTTACATTCATATAGGATGACTAATATTGCGTAACATTTGAGCAATGATTTCTTTGTTTCTAACGAAATGTTTCTATTTCTTCATAATTTTCGCAGTCCCAGTGCGCCATCAAATTTCATTCTAGTACTTTCTGTCCTCTATTAAAAAACTTCCCAAATATTTAAAATGCTGTACTTATTAGATTTTGGTATTTCGAATTTTAATTTGCAAGTTCGGCACTTCCTTTTGCTAACAACCATATTGATGTTTAGCATTTTCTTCTCGCTTATATTTTTTCACATTTCTTTTTCACTTGTT